CTTTAAGGCTGCAACGGAGGAAGAACAAAAAAAAAGGGGGGGTTATAAGGTTTAAAAAAAAAAAAAAAAAAAAAGGGGTTGGAAAGATAGAGGTGGGATTAAAAAAGGTTGGGAAAGGGGGAAAAGATTGAAAAGGAATAAAAAAGATTGAAAAGGGGGAAAATGGAAAAGGAAAAAGATTAAAAAGGGGAAAAATTGAAAAGGGAAAAAACTGAGAAAGGGAAAAAGGATTGAAAAGGGGGAAAAGATTGGAAAAGGAAAAAAGCTTGGAAAGGGAAAATAATGAAAGGAATAAAAAATATTGGGAAAGGGAAAAGGATTTTAAAAGATGCAAAAAGAAAAATGTTGAGAAAGGGACAAATGGTTAGAAAAGAGAAAAGGTTGAAAGAAAAAATATTTTTTAAAACATTGCAAAAGGGAAGAAGATTGGAAAAGGACGGGAAAGGGAAGAAATTATAAAGGGAAAAATTGAAAAAGGAAGAAAATACTCAAAAAGGGTGGAAGCAGAAAAATATTTAAAAGGATGAAAGTTTTAAAATGTTGAAATTGAGAAAAATATTCAAAAAGGAACAAAAGTCACTAGAAGTATTGAAAAATGGAGAAATAATAAAATGAAAAACATTTAAGAACAAAAAAGGATGGAAAGGGAAAAGCTATTTAAAAAGGAAAAAAGTTTGGAAAAGGGGAAGAATAAAAGAGAAAAAGAATGAAAAGACAGAGAAAATGAAAGAAAATTTAAAATGTAAAAAACTGAAAAAGATTTAAAAATTGAAAAAGGAAAAGAAGGATTAAAAAAGGGGGGAAATACTGAAAGAAAGGGAAAAGTATTAAAGGGGGGAGATAAAAAATGGGAAAAAGATTCAAAAGAGGGACAAATACTAAACACAGAAAAATACTTTAGAAAGGGGAAAAGTATTTTAAAAGTGGGCAAAAATCAAAAAAGAAAAGATTTGGAAAGAGTTAAAGTGATGGGGAAAGATTCCAAAAAGAGAAGAAAGTGTTAAAAAAAAAAGGGGGGAAAAGGGGGAAATTAGGAAAAGGGGAGGGAAAAAAAGGTGGAAAGAGAACAAATATTGAAAAAAGGGGGAGAAATTGAAAAAGGAGAAAGAAAATATTAAAAAGGGGAGAAAAAAGGGTTTAAAGTTCCCCCAAATCCAGGCCAAATCCTCCCCCCAAAAAAACCCAGAGGTGAAATGGAGGAGTTTGTCCTCAGTGATGGTTTTTAGGGGTGAAGTTGCCCAAAATGCTCCAAAATCACCCCAAACCCCCCAGGCTGTGCCTGCCCCTACCCCACCTCTGGAGTTTGCTGCCTTTTTTTTCCTTCCCCTTCCTTTCTGGGGCCTTTTTACCCCAAAAATGATGGGAAATGGGGTAAAAACCACTCCAAGTTTGGGGGTTTTACCCTATTTGGGTTTTTAACCCAAAAGCTGTTCCTGGTTGTTGTCACTCAGAACAAGGAACACCCAAATCCCCCAAAATCCACCCAAAACCTCGTGTGACACCCCCAGAACCCCCAAATCCCCCCAAAACATCGTGTGGTACCACAAGAACCCCAAATCCCCCCAAAAGAACCCCAAATTCTCACAAATTTTCCCCAAATTTTCCCCAAAATCTCGTGTGACACCCCCAGAACCCTCAAATCCCCCCAAATTCCACCCAAAATCTCGTGTGACACCCCCAGAACCCCCAAATCCCCCCAAATTCCACCCAAAACCTTTTGTGACACCACAAGAACTCCAAATCCTCACAAATTCTCCCCCAAAACCTCGTGTGACACCCCCAGGACCCCCAAATTCCACCCAAAATCTCTTGTGACACCACAAGAACCCCAAATTTTCACAAATCCCCCCAAATTCTCCCCAAAAACCTCATGTGACACCCCAAGAAGCCCCAAATCCCCCCAAAATCTCCCCAAAACTTCATGTGGCACCACAAGAATCCCAAATTTTCACAAATTCCCCCCCCAAAATCCCGTGTTACACCCCCAGAACCCCAAAATCCCCCCAAATTCCACCCAAAACCTCGTGTGACACCACAAGAACCCCAAATTTTTACAAATTCCCCCAAAATTCTCCCCCAAAAGCCCTGTGTGACACCACGAGGGCCCCAAATCCCCCCAAATTCTCCACCCAAACCCTCGTGTGACACCACAAGAACCCCAAATTCTCACAAATCCCCCCAAATTCTCCACCCAAAACCCCGTGTTACACCCCCAGAACCCCAAAATCCCCCCAAATTCCACCCAAACCCTTGTGCAGCACCACAAGAACCCCAAATTTTCACAAATCCCCCCAAATTCTCCCCAACCCTCGTGTGCCACCCCCAGGACCCCACACCGCAGAGGTGACGCCGTTTTTGGGGCCGGTTGTGCCTTTTGTCACCCCGAGCCCTCCCCGGGGCCGATTTTGGGGCGTTTTGGCCCTTTTTGCCCCTTTTGCCTCTGTTCGGTGGCTCTGCTGCTCCTGGCAGCCCGGAGGTGTCACCGGTGTCACTGTCACACCCCAGGGGGGTGGCACCAGGTCGGGTGGTGACAGCGTCACCCCCTGCCACCGCCGCCGGTGTCCTGGTGGGGACGGTGACAGCGGTGACAGCGAACGGTGACAACAAACGGTGACAACGAACGGTGACAACGGCGCTGTGGGGACATCGGGGACATGTGGGGACAGGGACAGGGATGGGACAGGGACAGACACAATGTGGGACATGGGACAGGGACAGCTGGACATGGACAGGTGACACAGACACATGGACAGGTGGCACGGACACACAGGTGGCACAGACACATGGACAGGTGACAGGAACACACGGACAGGTGACACAGACAAGTGACAGGGACAGACACACGGACAGGTGACACGGACACACCGACACACAGACAGGTGACACAGACACACGGACACAGGGACAGATGACAGGGACACACAGACAGGTGACACAGACACACGGACAGGTGACACGGACACACAGGTGGCACAGACACATGGACAGGTGACACGGACACACAGACAGGTGACACGGACACACGGACAGGTGACACAGACAAGTGACAGGGACAGACACATGGACAGGTGACACGGACACACAGACAGGTGACAGGGATACACAGACAGGTGACAGGGACACACGGACACACAGACAGGTGGCGCAGACACACGGACACAGGGACAGATGACAGGGACACACAGACAGGTGGCACAGACACACGGACAGGTGACACGGACACACAGATAGGTGACAGGGACACACGGACAGGTGACATGGACACACGGACAGGTGACACAGACAGACAGGTGACAGGGACAGACACACGGACAGGTGACATGGACAGACACACAGACAGGTGACATGGACACACAGGTGACACAGACACAGACAGGTGACACGGACACACGGACAGGTGACACTGACAGACAGACACACAGACAGGTGACATGGACACATGGACAGGTGACATGGACACACGGACAGGTGACACAGACACAGGTGACACGGACACACGAACAGGTGACAGGGACACACGGACAAGTGACAGGGACACACAGACAGGTGACAGGGACACACAGACAGGTGACACTGACAGACACACAGACAGGTGACATGGACACACAGGTGACACGGACACACGGACAGGTGACAGGGACACACGGACAGGTGACGGGGACACACGGACAGGTGACAGGGACAGCTGGTGCCCCCCCATTGTCCCTGAGCGTGTTCCCTCCCCAGGCTCGGACAAAATCCGATTAATTCGGGGCTCCGAAAAGTCACAATTGGCCCCAAAATGGGGGGGGGGAAACCCTGGGGACCCCCAAGAGGGACCCACCCGGGCAAGGGGGAGACCCCCAAACCTGGGGGGTCCTGGTGACCCCCAAGTGGGGGGGACACCCCCAAACCTGGGGGCTCCTGGTGACCCCCAAGTGGGGGGACACCCCCAAACCTGGGGGCTCCTGGTGACCCCCAAGTGGGGGGGGACCCCCAAACCTGGGAGGTCCAGGTGACCCCCAAAGTGGGGGGGGGACCCCCGACCCCTCTGGGGGTGACGTCATCACCCGCGGCCCGCAGGAGGGGCGGGGCTGCGCCTGGGTCAGGGGGGGTCACGGAGGGGAGACCCCCCCCAAAAAAGGGGACCCCCAGACCCAGCCCCCTCCCCCACATCGCCCCCCAGCCCCCCCTGAGCCCCCCCAGCCCCTCCGGGCCCCCCCCCGCACCTCGGGGCCACTCGGGCCGGGCCCGGGGTCGCCACCGAGCCCGCGCCGCCCGTCGCCATGGCAACGCCGCCGGAAACCGCGGGGCGCGCTGGGAAACGTAGTCCTTGGGTTTATTCCATTAGCGCGCGGCGCATGCTGGGAAATGGAGTCGCCGGCCCGGCGCCCGCTGCGGGCGGCGCGCGGAGCCCGCCGGGAGTTGTAGTCCGTGGCTCCGCCCCCTGGGCCGCGCCATCATGGCGGATCCGCCGGAGGAGGCGGGGGGCGACCTGGCCGTGAGTGCGGTCGGGGGGGATTTGGGGAATTT